TTACCCCACTAGAATTATTTAACTAAGGCTAAATCTGTCCTAACCAACTATTATTCTACATAACACAAGAAATGAAACTCAGCTCAGTAACAGTAGAACTTACAACACTTCCTGAGTTGTTACTACGCTTCACATTTGGAGTTGGCTAATATTCATCCAGGGAAGAGGAGTGAATCACAATCACATGAAGTCAAAGCAAGTTCTACAGGACCAAAGACCTTATTTCTAGCTTGTCACTGCTTAATTTTTCTTCAAGTTCATGCCTAGATCAGTCACTCTCTAATATTAATATTCAAATTTACTGTTTGAAACATAGGTTCAGGCTTTTAAGGTTTAATATCTTGTCATGAAATCATGTTTTTCTTTGGTTCACATCAGAATGTTTCTCGAAAGGTTCCTAAGAAACATAACTTGGAATTCATGTGAAGAATTATCATAAACGCCTTAGAAAAATTTCATCTTCTTACCTGATGAAGTTTAATGGACATACGGATTCCAGGGACGACTACTTTTCTTAGCAATTCCATGTCAGCAAAGATCCATTCATCTCGAATTGAAGAAATACGGAAATCTCCTTTAAATAGGGCATGCAATCCATAGAGGAATGACTCTAAATTACTGTTAAGATTGGAGATAAAAGTTCACATATTTTGACAAAAGTCTTCCATGTCACTGATTCTTACATTTGGGTGTACATTAAAATCACCTGGGAGTGTTTTCAAAATGCAGATTCTAAGAACTAATGTCAGAACCCCTGAACCAGAATCACAAGAGATAGAGAAGGCCTGTCTGACCTGAGACCCTCGTTTATGAACCACTGAAACCATAAGTCCATCAAAACAGACAACAGGCAAAGAGCCTATAAGTTAAAATAAATTATGAAGGGCCTAATGGAAAACATGTCATTACCAGATAAGAAATTCAAAATGTGTGGTATTTCTTAATTCTAATTCATTTGGATATATATGTCAGGAAATTCAGTTTAGATTTAGAGTCCCCAAATCTAACATATGACTATATTAAAAGTATAAATACTCTGGACAGAGGCTGCAAGAAAATATGGAAAAACAAAAACAAATGAACTTACTAGAAAAACAGATGTAAATGGGAAGAGACCAATCAAACTTCATGGGGTGATTATATTTTAAAATGTCTTAAATTCGCTAAATTATCATTATCAATAGCTATCCACACATGTATGAATTTTAAAAGCCAGTTCTGTTAACCAGTTAGTACAACTCAACTATATTCAGCAAAAAGATCTCAAGATAAAATCTAGAGACTTTTGTAGTAAGCATAGAATGAATGATTCCACAAAATATGATTTCAGATTTAGGTTACACAGCTTCCCATACTCTCTTCCTGAAAACAGAAATGCCTTCTTTACCTGGACATATGGTGGGATGCAGTCCCCAAAGCTCTCCGTCCCAGAACACAGAGTCCATAACAAAGAGTTACCAGGGATGAATCTTTGTCCACATCCAGTGGCTTTAAAAAACAAAGAACATTAGTTATTAAA